GTTTTTCTCTTTTTTGTAATTTCTTTATTAGTCAGCAGAATATGACTCAATGGGGGATGGCCTGATATCCCCAAAGAGAAATCTTAGGAAGTTTGTTGCAAAGGAAAGTACAGCAGATCCGCACACTAATGATCCTGATCTCTAAATAGTCCCCAGGAGCAGCCCTCAAGCTTAGTAAATACAGGGGCTCTGTCCATACTGAGTCACTATAAAAACACTTCAGGATAATAAGGGATTACTATATTCCTCCATGTTCTTTTTTTCCCCCTAGTTTCACCTTATTTTTTTTTATTTTTTAGAGAAAGAGGAAGGGAGGGAAAAAGAGAAAGAATGATCAATATGTGGCTGACTCTTATGTGCCCCCTACTGGAGACCTGTCCCGCAACCCAGGCATGTGCCCTGACTGGGAGTCGAGCCAGCAACCCTTTGATTCGCAGGCTGGCACTCAATCCACTGAGTCACACCAGCCAGGGCTTAAGATTCACTGTCTAAAGACAACTCTATAATAACTTTTAAGTTCACAGTGTGAGCTTTCAAGATAAGATTGTATCATCAGCATAATTTTCACTGTATAAGATATTTTAAGGTTATTAACCTAAAATATAATCCAATAAAATAAATTATTGTACCCCTTTGTGCTACTTATAGAAAGTCCCTTAAAATATTCCTTACTATATGTCTATGTATATACCTACATATATAATTGTTATCCATATTTCATTCAAAAAGGTGATTCATTTAGTTAATCTCATTAAAAGAGTGCAAAATGAGGCTCATATAATTTGGGCCACTCTATATATTTTCTAGTTTAAATGGTAAAAAATTTCCAGTACTACATTCTAATGTTCGCAGGGCCATGAGAGTTACTACATAGCAAATAAGGAAAGTAATGAATAACATGTGCAGAAACTACAGCCAAAATATCTGAAAAGCATATTGCGCTCAGTGCACTGCTAGGTTGTATCACAAAGGACCACCCTCTGTGGAGCCACAGGGAAGAAAACCAGACCTTTACAGCACATGCTGGATACGTGGTCTTTTGCTATAGAGGCTCTGACTTCTGAAGAATAAAGAGCAACAGTAGAAGAGAAGAGAACTGTGAATAATTTAAACCCTGATGCAGATCCATGGGTGGTAAAAAATATATATAATATATCTAGGGTAGGAAACAGTGCTTTTATGATGTTTCTGGATTTTACATGGGTCGCTACTGGTATTTGTAAAATTAAGATTTTAAATATTCTCAACCATGGATGTGTGGGTTTTGATAGACATCTGGAAGAATTAACTTGCATGGTGAGGGTGTTCTAGATCAACAATTTTCAACCGGTGTGCCACGAGAGTTTTTAAAACATGCAACACCTGACTATTTAGTCAGGAGCACTGACCTCTTTTCCCTTAGATTGTCAAGTTTTTTTAAAAAACTGACAACAACCAAGACAACAATAGCTGTCTGGTGTGGATGAATAAAAATTTCACCTATTTTTTTGTCAGATCGGCAAGAAATATCTTTCTTGGTGTGCTGCAGAATTTTAGTAATTAGTTCGTGTGTGCTATGGAATGAAAAAGGTTGAAAACTGCTTTTCCAGACTATTATGGAAATTGTAAAATGTGGAAGCAGCTGTACAAAAGAAAATAAACTTTAACGAATGAAGCAAGTGACCTTTTATGATACAGAAACAAACAGTGGGAAGGAATATATTGTGGATAATTTTTAACATGAAGTTAAAAAGCTTTAATATATGCTATTTCTTTTACCTGCCGTGAGCTTTCCTTGTCAAGGCCAAGTCAAATTCTAACTCAAGCTAATTTCTATATCCTCCAACATGATCAAGTACTGCTAATTACATGAAAAAGCTTTATGTACTACACTTCTTTTTAATGTCTTGTCATTTGTTTTGCTATCTTGTAGTCCCTTTGTAGCAAGGAACAATATTTTAAATGGATGCTTTAAAAACACAAATGATCGTTTTAACTAATTTCAGCTTGAGTACCCTGAGTCCCCTTAAACAGCATACCCTCCCCGAGGCAGGCTGGCAGGTGCCCACAGCGCATCCCACCCAGAGCGGACGGTCACGCGTTAGTGCACCCCTGCCCTTTGCTTCCATGGGTGGGCTTGGTGTTTGTTGGAAATCAGTGTGTCCTTGTTCCCTAATCTGTTTATCCCTGTGCTACTTCTTAAAGTCATCATCCCTTATTTAAATATGTCCTAAGTCTTCAAAATAATAACTAATCAAAATTGTTTGCAGGGAAACCAGGTAAACTACTCTAGGAAGAGTTTTTGAGTTGCTAAAAAAGTTGCCATTGAATTTGGGTGGGTGATCTAATCAATTTGGGTCAATCATTACATTCTAGTCTTCACTTTAATGAAAGCACCATGGATGGTACCTCATGAAGGAGACTTCTGCAACCAAAATATGCAGAACTTCAAACAGCAGATCCATATGCAAAGTAAGGTTTCTTGCCGTGCATCACAAGTTTGTACATTTATATTTTGAGTTAAATATTTAAGTAGGTATATTTTATTGTTTTATGAATTCCCACTTAAATCTGACATCTTCTTTAGAAACCAACTGCTGTGTTATACACTTCAGATACAAGGGCTTCCACTGTTTCTTGCATCTTCTTCCAGCCCAGTTGTCTACTTTTAGCTTGATAATAGAAACAGATGCTTTGGCTAGTAACAGTGGTGGTATGATTTGGGTGATGACTCTCACTTCATCATCAGATGTTTTTTAAAATAGACATTGTTCTTGCCACGGGGACTTGCAGTCTGTTTTTATCACCTGAGTTAACCACACCCACAGAGTTGGTGAAAATTGCAGCCAATTCTAATTTGGGGATATTGAAAATTGCAGTGTTGAGCAGAGAAAGCAGTGGTTGTTTATAATAGCCATGAAGAAAGAAAACAAAGTTTAATCTAGCTCTTTTCTGAAGCTTCTTTAAATCACTAATATCAGCTACGATGTGGAGATGGCACCCTTATGACACTTTCAGTTATGAAAAAAATACCCTGCTTTCTGGCTCTATTGATAGTGTGCCATCACATGTGTTTACACTGTAAGACTGTAAAATTGTAAGAAAATTCTATAAATGTTTTCAAATGTGTCTCTCTTTTCATGCCCATTTCCCATTTGGGGTTTTTTTTTAAAGATTTTATTTATTTATTTGGGAGAGAGAAAAAGAGGGAGAGAAACATCAACATGTGGTTGCCTCTCACATGCCCCCTATTATGAATCTGGCTCGCAAACCAGTCATGTGCCCTGACTGGGAGTTGAACCAGCGACCCTTTGGTTCACAGGCTAGCACTCAGTCCACTGAGCCACACCAGCTAGGACACCCACTTGTTTTCTCAGTCCATTTAAGTTTTGGCATTTACTAAATGTCAGCTCTAGTCCAGATCTAAAACATTGGCCTAGGACTAGTGGGGTTACCCGTTTAGATTAGCCTATCAAGCAAAATGAAATAAAATTTGAAAATGACATGAAAATTGCTTGAGAGAAAAATGGGGGCCAACAGTGAAAAAACCCCTTCATTGATGGCCTGATATTCATCCATTCTCTTATATTCACAGTTATGTCACTTTGCACAGATGATAGACTTTGATAAAAGGAAATTCAAAGAAACACTTACAAATAAGTCTTGCGTATGGCAACCTTTTACTGAGTTACCCATTTTGGGTCAGCCCTGGGTGTACAAAACGAGAAGACTGGTTTACTCTGCAGGCAACTCAGAACCTAAGGTGATGATTCTGCAGCCTGAAATAAAACCCAGAGCTGCTGGCGGAATGACACCTTTCTGAAGGGCAGTGCGGCCTCCTGAAAGTACGAATTTGTGCTCAGTGTCCGCTGCTCGGGGTCTTTCCTAAAGAATAATCAGGACAACGTGAGCAATGTTGACTCTTTCTGAGTAATGATCTTTGTTTTTAAACAGAATGATAAATGATTTACCAGATGTCCCAGCAGATATTATGAGACACCTACTCCACTTAACCTTGATAAAGAGTTTAGCTCTGAGTTACTTTTTCTTGTTCGTGAATATTGTGTGATAGTTGTTTCTTAGTGTTTAATTACTATCTTCATAGTTTACTGAACCAGTTCACTGTTTAGTTTTCCTTTCTTTCTCCTCAATTGCTAAGACAGTGTACATAATATATTAATTGCAGTGACGCATTCTGCCTTTGAACCCTTCCATCGTTGTTGTGGGGTTTATTTATTAGAAGTCTGTGATAAGTTGATCCAAACTTAATACCAAGAGTGATATTTGTATGGGCGCCGCTGTTCTCTGTCCCTGATCCATGTTTATGCAGAAGGTTGCTTGATTCTATTTGACCATTAGTCAGTAGCTTTGAAAGAAAATTGAGGCGCATGAACTATGTAACCAAGCCTTTGGTCTTTACTATGGTTGATTGACCATGGTGTCTGAGAATAGGTCAAGAGGTTAGCCAATTCCCTACTGTTCATTTGAGTAGAGTTTTAAGTAGTTTTAAATGTGTATTACATTGTCTAAGATCAGCGTTCAGTGGCTCAGAACTTTTCATTTCCATAAATGGTATAGGCTTTAGTTGGTATTTGGACTACTGTCCACAGCTTTTCTGACTTTTTTCTTTCAAAAGTGAAAAATTAGAAATGCTGATGATATTTGTTAGGAAGTAATGGAATTTTTTAACTCACATGTTAGGTTGCTAACAAGTTAATGCAAACTCGTTAAAGAAATAAACTATTACTGGTAAACTAGTGTTTAACAAGGTTTGTCTCCTAAAGGTTTACTTCTAAGACGCCAGTGTTATTTTTTTCCCTCGAAGTGGCATCCAGGTTAACAGAGAACCAAACAGTTGCAAACCTGAGACCTTTCCGTAATGGTTCTTCATAGAACTACATATTCATTTGGCTCTTCTGCTTCTTAGATGCTTCAAGACAATTGACATTTCAGAATTCTTCCCCCGCCCCCCCCCCGCCCCGCAGAAAACAGAGCTAACTTATCACTTGTTCTAATTTAAGGGTTTCCCCTCTTCAAAAATCTGAAGTCGTTGAAATGGTTAAGAAACAAGTCAAAGTCATAACGCTTGCAATTGGTGATGGAGCAAATGATGTCAGCATGATACAGACGGCACACGTGGGTGTCGGTATAAGTGGTAACGAAGGCCTTCAGGCAGCTAATTCTTCAGATTACTCCATAGCTCAGGTAAAGCATCATTTCTGCACAGCACACCAGTCATGTCAGTCAGCTGACACTAGGAGAAGGAAAATACTAATGTTTTCCACTCTTGTTTCAGTTCAAGTACTTGAAGAATTTATTGATGGTTCATGGTGCCTGGAACTACAACAGAGTCTCCAAGTGCATTTTGTACTGCTTCTACAAGAATATAGTCCTCTATATTATTGAGGTAATAGCAGGTTAAGCTTTAAATCCTTGTTCCTTGCTTAGAGATATAAGGAGATTTTCTTTATGAAGACATATTCTCATTTTAATGAATCCATTTGCCCACTTTTTATAACTTCTAAACATGTTACAGGGCTGTCCAACCCACGGCCCAGGATGGCTATGAATGCGACCCAACACAAAATCGTAAATTTACTTTATGAGATTTTTGTTTGTTTGTTTTCGTTAGTGTTTGTGTATTTAACGTGTGGCCCAGGACAGCTCTTCTTCTTCCAGTGTGGCCCAGACACTTCAAAAGGTTGGACACCCCTGTAACAAAAAGGTTGTCAGCCATGGAGGATAATTAATGCTTAAATTATGGCTAAGAAATGTATATTGCTTGGGTGAGAATTGTTGAATTGCTAATGACATAATGTTTTCAGCTTTAAAAAGACTATAAACTGTATAGAATTTTTTATGAAGCTCAAAAACATAGAAAATAATGTACTGTTTAGGGAGAGAAGTTGTATTTGAAAAGAAAATGAAGGGACTGATAGACATAAAACTGAGGATAGCAGTTCTGCTGGGCGGAGTGAGGGGGTAAAGAGGAGGCAAAGAGGGGGCAGAATGAGGAAGGCTAATCAGTAGTTTTGTTAGTATTGGTCATCTTGTAGCTCGTACTATGTTTCAGACGTAGGCACTTGTGTATATAAGAATCCCTTGCTACCAGATCTGTTTTGGTTTCTGAGTTTGGTTAGTAGCAAGAGTTTAGGTAATGAGGAATTAATCTAAAAATTATCAGAATATTTAGTTCTTGTGTCTGTATAGCAAGAAATCCCAAATTCTTTTTTATATATCAAATATACTTTTGAAATGAAAACTTAACCTGGGTCAGGCATATCACTTCCAAAGGGATGTGGTTTGTCCTACAAACAACATTACAGTACCTACTGCTTCATTCAGCAACTACAAAGTAAATGAAGCATGTTTCCCCTCCTCCAAGAGCTTGCAAATAGAAATACAGTGCAAACCACACATGTAATTTTAAATTTTCTAGAAGCCGCATTAGCAAAAAGTAAAAATTAAAGCCCAAATTAATTTTTAAATGAAATTTTATTTAACTCAATATATTCAGTATTATCATTTCAACATATAATCACTATAAAAATTCTTAATGTGATGTTTTACATTCTTTGTACTAAGTGTTCAAAATCAGGTGCATAGCAGTGGCTACCATACTGGACAGCAAAGCACTAACACATAAATAAGTGATCTGTACGGTCATTCAGGAAGTGACATATAAGTCACTTCCTTTTTTTTCACATCTGGCCTTTTTATCGTCAGAAGCAGTATTTGTAATATATTTAAGCTCTAGGTGTTACGAGTTTCTTGCTCCTCGTGCAGCTCCTCGGAGCATGAAGATGGGCCCATGTAGCTTGTTAAGAAAGCCCTCCGTCTGCCCCTCCTGCCAGAGGACCCGCCTTTGCCCCTGTACACGTGCCCAGGGCCTCCTTACCGATGTTTGTTTACGCCATCTTGCCTCCCAACCTGCTGGCTGTTCCTACACATCTGTCAAAAGAGCCACATTGTGAAATTGACATATCTGTCTATTTCAATCAAGCCATTGCTGTATGCAGATTGTATCCCATGCTTTACACCAGAGAAGTAACACTGTAAACAAACCAAAAAAATACATCGATTTCACCTTTACCCTATTGACAGGTTGTTAGAACTGCTGTATGTTTAGTTCAGCTATTCTTTATACCTCTGTTGGAATGCTTATCTCCTTGTTAAAATGTTGACTGAGCATAGTTCTTACAAGTCAGCTTGTAAAATTGAAACTTAGTTTTCAAGTATGCAGGCAGTTTTATTTATTGGTCACTAAAAATCTAGAATTAGGTTACAACCCATTAAGTAAAATAATCAAATACTTCGGAAATACAAACAGGATAATCTGTAAACTTACTATTGTTCATTACTGCCAATTTGGTCTATAATGGTCCGTGTTTTGAGGCAAAATGCACCTCCAAAATAGCTTATGAGATCCAAAAAATATATATTACTTTTTGTACATATAAATTTGTGCTTTTTTTCCTGAAATAATTATTTCTGATTACCAGTCTCCTCTATAGTTACTACCTTTTCTAATTATATTTTTTCTCATTCAAAATAATATCAATTTATAAACTTTATTTTCATGCAGTTTTGAAGACACTAGGAGTTTAAAGCCATGGGTAGCAATTAAGTTTGCTTACAAAATTTTAATTTTATAAAATTAAGTAAGAGTACTCAACTCACTCAATTATTTTTAAATCTAGAACATTGACAATCAGCAGTGTAGTAGGTAAAGCTTATGTACTAATGGGGAAAATAAAATATGTTAAACTCAAAAGGAAAACTGAATCTGTACTGTCTGTTTCATCCAGAGTTATATGTTTTGTGGTTGAATAGCCCTAAATTTCACCTGGCTTTGAATTTAAAGCCTCTTCATAAGATATTTAACACTAACCAAATTCTTTAAACATTGGAAAAGAAGTTAAGTCCTAAACTGTACTAGATAACTCTTTTTTAAGTTATTTTTCTTTTAGCACTTTAAGGAAATGTACTTTGAATATAATTCAGCTATCTTGGAAACAAATTGACCTTTTCCATCAATTCCCAGATACCCAACTTTTGCCAGCTAAAACAAGCTCTGCAGATGTTAATGGCTCATGTCAATACTGTGAATGAATAGACAGAAAACACATCATTGAATGTCTCTAGTGAGGACAACTGCCAGTCTCGAATCTCTCCTTTGAGTTTTTTGTGCTGATCAGGCGTGGGAGCAGAGGAGTCGTTGACTGTGTGTAAGCTGCTGTTTAATATGCAGAAATGCTCCATCAGGAAAATGTGTGCAAAGCTTTCGCTGCCACTCCTCTCTGCTGGGACTTGGAACTTAGGAAATAATACCAGGAGAGGCAGGTCCGAAGCTGCTTTGCTAATAAAGGAATAGTCTGGAACACTACGTTTTATAGATTATCTGCAAAAACTGCTTTTCCCATTGCTGTATTGCCAGAAATATCACTAACTGGCTACTTTGTTGCCATAAATTATAGCCAAACAAATAAATGCAGATTTGGCAGGTGGCTGAATAAAGTGCTTACTTAATGGTGGCCGCCCAGCAGCAGCGTCAGGTGTTCACTGAAATTACTGGCTCTTTCTAAAGTGATTTGTGTAAAATTTCTTTGAGACGTCTGACTCCTTCCTACCAAAATAAGACTTTTTTTCTTTCAAACAATTGGTTGCATCCAGGTTTTCTGGTAAGATCCCAAAACAATGTAGTGTTTCTAATTTTAGAAGCTCTGATTAAAGTTAGCGAGGTGTTATTTTTTCCCACGTGTTGTGCTGGGGTGTGGGGTTCTTGTGAATTTAAATAATATAGATACCTCTCCAGAGGAACCGATATCTTCTTTCTGCATCTGTGGTTTTGGTTGAGTCGAAGGACGGGCTTTTATGTGTTTATAGTAATGTAGGTATTGTTTTATTTAGTGTGAGATATGTTTTTAATCTATCTTTTAACTACAAATCTCAGACTAACTTGAAATCAGCCTTTTGGGAGACTTCTTCACTGTTAGAGACCTTCTGTTTTTGAATGCCAAAATATTTGCATGAAGGGATAGAGTACTGTATTAGAAGGTTCTGCTTTTATCTAGCGATTTCTTTTTTAGACAAAGGAATTAGAATACTAACATTTTAAAATGCAGGAAGAAAATTTCTAAAAATGTCTTCACTTATCTTTCAGTAGGAAAATAAAAAGGTAAAAATGTATTTATAGCTATCCGTTTTAAAATTTCTGCATTTCTGTCGTAAAGCAGTAAGTTCATGCATTTTTAAAATAAACTATGAAAGCATATATGTTGGTTTTTTTGCAAATTATTTGGAATTTGAAACTTTTTGTAAATATTCATAGATTAAGGGAGGTTCTCAAATTCCAAGCTCATAGTAGCACATTTGAATCAGCACCTTATGTTATTTATGAAGAAGCTAGGAGACTGTTCACATTTATAAATATTCACTGACGCACAATAAATTTATTAACATAAATTTCTCATATTATCCAGTAATGATGATTGCAGATGCATTTGTAACTATAACCTTTGAGCTGACCCATACCCATTAGACTAATTTGGTATGCACATAGCTTCGGCTTTCTTCAAACGAACAAAGATTAGACTGCGTCTTTATGACTAATGAGGCTATATTGAAAGTTTGGTTTTAAAAAATCCTTATATTTCCATCATACCCTAGGAAACCCCTAAGAGTTCCTTTGTATGTAATACCACAATAGATCACAGTCACCTTCAGAGAGAACATTACCATCACCCAGAGTATCACAAATATGTATTTACATAATCCACATCTCACAAAGCCCAAAAGTGAAAACCCAATAGCAAGCCCTGAAGTCTGTCTTGTCAATTTATGTATACTTAACACTTAAAAAAAAAAATACAGTCAGCAGCACCACCCTAAAGCATAACTTTAACTTCACATGAAGATGCTAAATTCTTTTCAAGTCTGCAGGCACAAATGAATGATCTGGCTCCTTGTTTAAGACAAATGTTCAAATTTTTTCCATAAACATATGGGCAAAGCAAGCAACAATTTCAGATTTGCCCCCAATTTCTGTGCTTTTGTTGTTGTTGTTCATGTGTGTTACAGCCCTAACACAGTTTGGGCTTATTTTTCATGTGCTATTGCTACTTTGATTTTGGTGGGGTGGTTTTTTTTTTCTATCTCAGGAAGTAAACATCATTTTTATCTATGCTCAACCATTCCTTTCCACTATAAAAAGGAAAAAGATCAATGTGGGTACAGAAACTGTGCATAGGGAGGCCTGCCTGGGTACATATTGATAAATGGTGAATTTGTAGCAATTCATGCCTCTATAATGAGGTTAAATGAAACGTGAAGTGTAGCGAAGTCCCTGCAACTCCAATTCAGAAATTCACTTGACGGGCATGTCAAGCCTGCTTTCCTCTAAACAGGCTTTTTTGTTGTTTTTTATGTTTTGGTTTTGTGTTTGTGTTTATGTAATCTCATTGCTGGGCCAGGCTTTTTACTCTTCCAGATCAACATGATTTTAATTACATTTTAAATAATGTAGGGATTATTGATTTACTAATATCACTAAGTTACCATTTGTCATAAACATGTTGGATAAAATCTCTCAATATCCCCCCTTAATTTTGTATCCAACATTGAAATTTCTATTTTTAAGAGAATTGCAAAATATATAACATTATGCTCTATTAAAGATCTTTTTTTATCAAAGCATAAATTTGTTATGAAATATTTTGATATATAAATTCATATTTCATATTCTGATGGCTGTAATTATCAAGAACTATTTAAGAAGGTCATATACTTTGACCCATTAATTCTACTTCAAAGAATTCATCGTAAAAAAAAGAAACAAAAGCAAAGGGGCACAGGAAATTTTTGGAGGTGGTGTTATGTCTGTTGCCTTGATTATGGTGATGGTTTCATGTGTATACGCATATGTTTAAACTCAACAATTATATGTGTTAGATGTATGCAGTTTTTTGCATATCAATTATGTTACAATAAAGCTGCCTTTTATTTTTTTTTAAAAAAGAATTCATTCCAAAGAAATAGAAATGTGTGGGACTTCTGTATAAGAATATTCAGTTCAGAATTATATATAATAGAAAAAACTGGAAGCAGGCTCAATACCTAGAAATAGTTATAGCCACCCCGTAGAGGTTATACATCCATTAACATCATTTTAAAGGATATGTAACAAGTTAAGGAAATGTATATTACATGATGTTAAGAGGGAGAGGAGCAGGACGTGACACTATCCATATACAGCAGGCTTCTTGTAGGTGAATTTATGAATTTATATAAATGAACTATATGAATACAGTTATCACAGAAGAATATAAATGATGATGGTATTATTACAGGAAATGATTTTCTAAAATGCGTTATATTAAAAAACAATAGTCTTTAAATAATTGTCAGGACATATTTTAAAAGAGAAACAAACTTCTGAAAATGTAATGGCATAAAATATAGTCCCTGAAGTGCCTTTTAGAAAACAAGATTATATTTAAATTTTTTAACCTATGATTGTCTATTGATGCAGTTTTTTTTAATTCAACAAGTGGAACCAGTTTTGACTTAAATAACAGATCCTTTATGAAAGCATCCTTCAAATTAAAAAGTAAAGCAAAGAAATACCATTTTCAAGAGAGTCATGAAAATATTATGCTATTATGCAGTAGTTGAGTACACAACAGATTCTACACAATGCACTTACTTTAGTGTATTCTAATTTGGGGGTTTTGGGTTGTTTTCTTTCTAGATCTGGTTTGCCTTTGTCAATGGCTTTTCGGGGCAGATCCTCTTTGAGCGATGGTGTATAGGTCTTTATAATGTGGTAAGTTTGGGACATTGGGTTTTTCCTGTTCTATTGAATGCTTTGAGATAAAGATCCACCTGGCCTTCAGCTGCTTGGTACAATGACCTGTGTGTGCTCTTTAGATGTTTACAGCAATGCCTCCCTTAACTCTTGGAATATTTGAGAGGTCGTGCAGAAAAGAGAATATGTTGAAGTATCCTGAATTATACAAAACATCTCAGAACGCCCTGGACTTCAACACCAAGGTAGGGTAAGATGTCCAGTCACAGAACGGGGCAGGGTTGGGTGGCGGGGCGGGGGGCGCGGTGCGCTGCTTTGCTGCTCTAATTGCTTGGAGCATCTGGTCTTCCAGAGCCAAGGAAACAACCCCAGGGTATGGACCCTGGAAGTCAGATTTGCCTAAGGTCCAGGTACGGACTGAGGTGGTTTTTGTGCGTTTTGTTATAAAACTAAACTGTAGCCACGATTCACTGGGATTTGCCAGGCAGCAGGGGCCTGGGTCTGGCAGGCAGCCTTGAGTGTCCTTGTGGCCCTGCCGAGGCTGTCTCGGCAGCGCCGTGGGGAAGGGGTCACCGTCCACAGGGGTCAGTCATCCAAGACGGGCAGGGACTGTCTTTACATGTATAAAGTGGCAAGGGGCGATAGGGCATTCTTCCTAAATTTTCTGTTGTGTGAACTAACTCTGCCCTTATTAGATTGTTTGTATAGAGCATTAAAAATTATAGTCTCTGGGAAATAACTCACTTAGTCATAATACTCTGTGTTTCCAGGCCATAAAACTTGAAATACAAAATAAAATATCCAACATTTTATCTAAAATCATATTCTGGGTTTTATCTGGCATGACATGGCATGGACTATTGTCATCTCTTGTGATCCATTGTATTGGTTCATCCCAACAACAAAAACTGCTCATTTTCCACATAGTTTACATCCCTGAAAGTATATGTTCTAAAGTGGTATTTTCTAGTAATTCTGGTTTCGGTTTAGTATGAGAAGCAAAAACTTTTAATTTTCTAACGGCCAAAATAGATGCCATTTTGAAACTATAGTAAAAGTAACAAATATAATACATCTTCACTGAATTTTTCCCATTGACTATAATATATGTTTATTAGCATGTTAGTAATAATTATATGTAACCTAGATTCAGTGTTTTGAATTTATGACAGTTAGCATGGGATACTTTAAATATTTATTAATTTTTAAAGCTCTTGAATGACATTTCTTCTCACTACACCAAGAGAATAAAATGAAGCAGGTGTTTCAGGGCCTCTAACCTCACACCATAAATGTCAGCGTTGAGTTTATAGCCAGGATGTTATTCATCTTCAGAGACTAGGTCTTCATGAATGTGCCGTGCACGCACATCCAGGTGTGCGCGTACATACAAATTGGCAGCATTATTTTAAATCACTGAATTTGGTTAATTAAAAAAAAAAAAATGAAGGGTCCTTAGACCATTGCTTCTGAAAAGTATTTTTATTAGTCTCTTAAACAGTTACTCTTTATGATATGAAATGTCTGTGCTTTTATTTTTGAATGTTTTATTTTTGGATTTTTTAAACTCGTTTGTGATGCCCAGTTTGTATTAAATTCTACCACCTTACCATAATGTTTTTCATTACCCATGGTTGGTATTTTCAAGTGGCTGAGCCAAAGTGGCGGATGAGCTGAAAAGGTGATCTGAGAGCTAGGAGTGGTCCAGACGTGTTGGCATACTAGCAGTCGTTCTCAGTGACCTAAATTATTGTGTGGACCTCAGCCACAGGTCCCCAAACTACTGTGGCTCAGGCACCACAGTGCTCTCTAGAGAGTTAACCTCTCAATCACAGACTTGGCCATGGGGCTCTCGCTTCTCACAGGATTACTCAAAGCCAGTCCTGGAAAGGCATATCCTTTCGTGCCCTTTGCATGTTGCAGCTCGGACACGGTTTTGTGGGCAGGGACACGGCGAAGCAGGTAGATGGTTTTAATGTGGATGCAACCTTCCTTGCAAAGTTTACTATTTTTTGTTGTTGTTGACAAAGTATTTCATTATCATCAGGGCCTATATGCATTACCAAAAAATCATCAGATCAATCCAAATAGATTTTACAGGGGTGGGCAAAAGTAGGTATACAGTTGTGAGTACACTAGAGTTTTTTCTTGTTTTGTTTATTTTACTATTTGTCATCTTCCAGATGAACAACTGTAAACCTACTTTTGCCCACCCCTGTACTCCTGTATCCATTGAGTCTTTACATATCCATGAGTTGCCCACCCTTTTTTATAGGGTTTATGGATCTTCCTAATGATTTCAGAGAAAATTCTTTGATTAAATCCCGTATAAGTGTTTTAAAATTCAGGGACAAATGGCTACAAAATGCATAGTTGTACACACAGCAGTTGCTGTGGGTCCCCAGTGTGGAAGCATTGTTGCCCTGAATGATGATGATTACGTTTGTTATGGTAAAAAGGGTCGGAGGTTCTGAGGTCATGACAGGGGTTAAAGGATTAGCATGTGACAATAAGTAGCGGTCAGGAAAATGGAAAAGTAGAACTAATTTTTCTTGCACCCACCTGTGCTTTCTGTCAAATAAAAACTTGCGGTAATGACACAGTGAGGAGAAGAGACAAAGGTTAATGAGTAACACAAGTTCAAATGTGTAATGTATTGGAGCGTAAATTGGATCATACAATCCGGTGTGGCTGTGCGAACTGACAAAGGAGATTGAGATCACAGTGGAAAATTTTGGGAGGCAGGCAACTTAATTTCTGTTGTTTGAACAGCTTAAAACTATTAATACATGACAGTTTTATTTAGCATAAGTTTTGTTTGCAAGAAACACTTTTAGATGACAAACTGCAGTTGTTCAAAGGGCCATAAGAATTCTAACCAGTTTTTCTTTAAATTAATCTTTCATATTCATGTTACAAAGCAAAAGAAAGTACCAGTGATGCTTGCTTTCTGGTTCTTAAAATACAATTGATGTCAAAAGGAATAATTATTAAATGATATTATAATTGTGTAAAGTTTGATGTTGACAGGCATTAAAAATGTGGAAGCCTTTTATAAATTCAGTTATATTTTTACTTAGTACAATGCTTTACTAAGGAATTATACAATTTAAATGTAATACTGGCTAGTTCTGGTATATGTGTAGAAATACACACACACACTTATGGGGAGAGAGAAAGAATATGAATGCATTATATCCTAACCATTGAAAAGTTTACACTTTTATTGCACATGAGAAAGAGAAAGTAAGGATTTCACCTCTTACGATGTTTTCAAAATTCTCTTCTTCTGGAATCATGAAAATAGTCCCGCTTAAAAGAATTTCAGGATCTGCATTATTTTAAACTTTATTTTCTTTTTCAGTACAAATTTAAATGTTTAATACTTGGTTTTAAAAGGTAGAGAAAATTTCAGTGAAGCTGAAAAAACATTTTGAGAAACATAAAAATAAATAAATGACCCATGAAGGTCTAAGAGGCAGAAAGTGTCTGTCAGTCCTATTAATTCACAGCGGTGGCCCGACAGAGACACGTTTTGTGAATCTCGCTCCCAGATAAAAAGAAAGGTCAGAGTTCACAGAGCTAGTTGATCGCCAGTGGTTCTCATGGATTTTTGTTTTCCCTCAGGTTTTCTGGGTTCATTGTTTAAATGGCCTCTTCCACTCAGTTATTCTGTTTTGGTTTCCACTAAAAGCCCTTCAGTATGGTAAGTAGAAAGGATATGAATGCTAAGAGATGACTTTTTACTTTTTTAGAAAAATAATTCATTGTCAATATATGTTAAAGTTATAGCAGTGTTTCGTTATTATATGGTATTCCTTAACCTAAAATACATGCATCCAAAAGTTGTACACACTTTAAAGATTTTTATTATTCCTCTGGGAGCAAAGTGATTTAATATATGCAAAGCCTTTCTTCTCTACTTCTCATGTTTTCCCAACTTGCAGAGAATTAAATTTTAGGGGTTTTTTTGGTCCTGTGTTGATGTATTGTTTGAAGAAAATAGTGCTAATATTTTATTATACCTATGAGGCTTGTATCACGCTCTTTATACTGAACCTAATCAGACATGCTAGTATTTTCAAGTAGACTTGAGCCGATGTCTTGAATGAGAGTTTTAATCTGTTTTTATGTTCATCTTAGAGCGTGGGCTTTTTCTCTGCCTCTTTTGAGGAAGTGATGTTATTCTGTCAGTTTTGAAAGGGAGGATCGTGGCGAATTTCCTATATTCATAAAAATGATTAAGTAGCCACTTTAGAAAAAGATGTCTGTGATGCTTAAGCTAGAGCTGCTAGCAGACCTTGCCTTAAGATGCTGAAGAAGACAGCCTACCATTCAGCCTCTGCTCCCAAGCAGTAGTAGTTAAAAACTCCACCCACGGATTTGTCAGCTCCTTGATGGTATAGGCCATGCCTCGTTGACTGGGAGTTAATGGCTGCCACAGAGGAGAGGGCTGTCCACGCATCCTTGCCCACCTCCAGTCTGTTCTCCTGGGGCAGCCGAAGTGGTCCTTGTAATACGTGCATCAGACCAGGTGCCTCTCTCCTCAGAAACCCACACACTGCCCTGGCTGGGTGGCTCCACTGGTTGGAGCATCATCCTATACACCAAAAAGTTGCGAGTTCGAATCCTAGTCAGGGCACATGCCTAGGTTGCGGGTTCCATTCCTGGTTGGGGCGTGTACGGGAGGCAAATGATCAATGTTTCTCTCTCACATCAATGTTTCTCTCTTCTCTCTCTCAAATCAATAAACATATCCTTGGGTGAGGATTTTTTTTTTTAAACCACAGACTTCTATCACATTGAGAACAGAATCCAGAGCCCCAGCCTCGGCTGGCTCCTCCATCTGATTTTTCCCCCTTCTTCCCCCTCCCAGTTCCCCCTGGTGGCCCCCATGCACTTCCTGACTGTTCACCTTGACAGTCTGCCAGCCTGCCGCCTCACTCCCCGGGCCTGTGCTCAGAGAGGCCCGCTCAGGTCACCAACACCATCCTCATTGCTCCTGCCCCTCTGTCCCCTGGTCATCTTGTATCTTCTTTACGAGTCTTGTCTGTTGAGGTCTGATCTCTCTGCTTATTTTTTATTATCTTTCTCCTCTGTTAGAATCAAAACTCCAGAAGGTCAGGAAATTGTTCGTTGAGTTCCCTGTTCTATGTACAATGTTTAAACCAGAGCCCAGCTCCATGTAGGCACTCGGTACCTTGTCAACAAGTTAATGAGAGGCTGCAGCGTGAAGCGGGTGAGGGGGAGCTGTGAGAAGGTGGTGGTTTCGTGTCCCAGTCAGGGATTTTTATTGTGTCTTTATTAACTGTTTTGCCAGTACAGGAGTAAATATTGCTCATCTTTCAGACCATGGAAATGAGTTCGGTAAGAAATCTGATTAAGGTAGAGAATATGGACCCCATAGGCTAGGAGAACCACAATGGCATTTTTTTTTTTGAGATATAATTCACATGCCATAAAATTCACCTTTTAAAATTACACGATTCAGTGGTTTTTAGTATATTCACAGAATAATGCAAACATCACCACTGTCAAATGCCAGAACCTTTCGTCACTCCGTAAAGCAAACCCCATAGCCATTAGCAGTCACTTCCCATTTCTCCCCACCTTCCGCCAAGCCTCTGGGGACCACGACTTTTTATCTCTGTGGATTTTCCTGTTCTGGGCCTTTCATATAAATGGAATTGTGTGATATGTGACCCTGGTTTTTATCCGTGTTGCAGCATGACTCAGTACTTCATTCCTCTTTTTGTCTGAAAAATATTCCATTGTGTGCCTATATCATATTTTGTTACCCATTTAGCAGTTGATGGATATTTGGATTACTTCCACTTTTTGGAGCCATGGGATATTATTGAAAACCAGGGTACAATTCAGGATTCCTTGACCTTAGACAAGTTCTCCAGTTAAAGTTTATTTTTTCAAATAAGGTTACTTATTTGCGTACTTCAGCAGTTCTCAAAGTATGATCTCTAGACACTTGGGAATACCTAAGACCTTTGGGTGGTCCATTAGGGCCAGGAGGTCAGAATTTCATAGCTTTACATTTTTTATAATATTATTGAGACATCTTTTTCACTGCTGATACAAGAGCAGGGGTGGGTAAAACTGCTGGTACTTTAGCACAACAGAGAATCCACTGTACTAGCAGTCATTGTATTCCTCCTTGCCAGGTATCCACATTAAAAAAGCCACTAGAGAAGCTAATTTCGCTTTAAGAATACCCTTGAAGACCCTGTAAAGCTAATATTTTATTAAGTCTCTGCACTTGATACCTATCTTGTTCATATTCTGTGTGATAAAATGGGAAGTACACCTGAAGCACTTCCGCTGGGTCCCAAAACGCAGCGGTTGTGTCAAGGTCAAGTGCCTTGTGGGTTGTCTGAGTTGTGAGCTGAGGTTACAGTGTCATGCATGGGTAAGAGACCCATTCCAAGTGTAAAGCAGACCAGTTCACTTTAATGCTATCGATGGCCAAAATTCCTCACTGCAAACCTTTAAGAAACCATGTCTTCCTCTTTAAGAAACTACTTGCTGAGTTTTGATTTACTACAAAAAAAGGCCTAATTATTAGAAAAAATTAATGTACTCCTCCCCTTTATATTTCTATCTCACTGTGAAGTTAGATTTCCTTCATATATTTTTAACAAATAAGAATCTGGCTGTGTTTCTATTAAACCAGGTATTAAAGAGATTTTTAAATTATAAAACAATGACTATTTTCTTTTTTTTCATTTTGGGAAATAGTTATTTTTCATAAAATCTGTTTATATTATACCATTTATTGGGTTTGTTACTGTTATTTTCAAATATATCAGTACATATTTTTAAATTTTATGTCTTAAATTCCAATTTGGTAAATATAACTAGAAATCACATAAACAAAGCTTTTGGGGATCCCCAATAATTTTTAAGACTGTTAAAGTTCCAAAGACCCAAAAAATATGAGGATGAATGATTCACCTGAATCATCCAAATGCTAACCCTGACAAACCCAACAGGAGGTTTTTATTTTTTTCCTCAATGTGATCTTGAAATGAATTTCTGTTTTCCTCATGACAAACCAACCTTGAGTAGAAGGCTGAGTTGGACCCAGCTATGATTATTTTTGATAACTTGCTTACATTGACCAAGAAAGCCAACCAATACGCCACATAGCAGAAACATGCACCTTAGGGAGTAATGAAGATATTTTCAGTTATTTTATAGACTTTTGAGTTTGTTAATTTTGTTGTATGGAAATTTGCCGATTAATTGCAAACATTTAGAAGTTTGTCTACAACATACCCAGAAGATGGAGCACACTGGGTCCTGCATGCATAATCATGGTGTCCCCCACAGAGAAAGGCGGTCTCCTGGAGCTCTGGGCTCCTGGGAGGCAGCCCTGCCCGGCCCCTTTTACCTGGATGCTTTAGAGAGGGACGGGTCACATTTTGGAACACCTGCCAAGCGCCAGGCGCCCTGCCTGGTACTTTACATATGTAACCTCATTTTAACCAAAAAGCCTCAACAGAGTAGAGAGTTTCACCCCATCTTTTGCGTAAAGAAACAGAGTTCCACAGAGATTGAATATAAATTACCCAAGATGACACCAGAAGTAACGGAACCAAACTTGGTGTCTCCGAAGCTCTCCCAGCTCTTTTCTCTCCTTACCAGCACCCCTCGCCCTGACGCATCCCACGCTGCATTCTAACATATTTTGTTCTTACATGTCAGGCTTTGAATAAATATTATTAAATGTTTGTATAAATAAAATATTGTGTTCCACATACTGTGGATTTTTTAATTTTCAATGATACCAATGAATTATTCACTTATTTTTTTTAATCAGTAATAGCATATTTAACATGTTAGCTACCACTCCCTTCATCTGAAGCCATGTTTGTTCATTATTACTGGATTAACAAAAACACCTTAAACTGCACCACTGAATTGAGCCAGACCCAAATGCCCAGAATCATTTGGCGTGCCTCGGCTGTCTGTGAGTCAGTCTTAGAATCTCTTTGGTCCGATACCAACAACTTTATCGAGAGAGAGTGCGAAGGCTCCCCTACACCCTCAGCGATGTTGTTATCAGAGCTCTCTAGTAGAGGTTCAGAAAGCCTCTCTTGACTCAGTGCTCAGAGCATTCAGCTTTGCTTGAACCATTAGTTTGATTTTTTTCCTAATCTCATGGGCCCTGGTAATTGGTTAACAAGTCAGGTTTCCTTCTCCGTATTGACTATTGGAATTTGTGTTTAATGTGTGACCCATACGTATAGTAACTTTGTGAGACCCCTTACAGTATTTTCTTAGCCTTGTTCCCAGCTCCCTTGTGTGGCCCTTCGCTCCCGTTCTCTTGTTCACCAGTTCTAAGTTGATTTATCTTTGAAAAGATTCTGAACGGAACTCTTTTCATTTTTCTTTTCTAACAAGCCTCTCTCTTCTTTGCATGCAGGTACTGTGTTTGGAAATGGGAAAACCTCCGATTATCTGCTGTTGGGAAACTTTGTTTACACTGTGAGTGCAGGACATTTCCCTAGTTTACATGTAAACTGGAATCTTTTCATATGTGCTCATTTTATTTTCAAATTTAAATGTGTGCATTTCTGGATTTAAGGGTTGGTTGCACTTCCCTTTCAGAATGAAATGAGATGTTCTGATTAGCAAGAGATTATTCTATATTAGCTTGTTAAACTGTCATTTAGATTCACTGGCTTCTTAGGCCTTTGGGTAGTACTGTTTTCATTTTTCCTTCTTTACTTTTATTACCCCCTCATTGCCCTGTTCTCGTCTCCCTTTTTCCTCAGTTTTATTTCACTGTCCTTGTTAATGCTCTTTTGCTTTTACTCTCCTTGGGTTATTCTACAGTCTCATGATAACTGCAATGGGGAGAAGTCTCCACTTTTTGGGGACATTGCACCAACACCACACTTCCATCACTGCGAGCTACGGCACGTGCCCAGCATTCCCAAGACTACTGTGTTTGAAATCTTATCAATTATAAATAGATGATAATAAAGCACAGTGCTGAACACTGTTCTTGGTGTTTTATACTCAAATCCCGGTAAGGGGGTTTATCGATCCCAGTTTACAGATGAAGGCGCGGAGACACGGAGATGTCAAGTAACTTGCCTTGTTCCTTAACCAAAACAGCTAATAAATGATGGAACCTCGAGCCCATGTGGTCTGAATTCCAGGCCAAGTCCGTTAAAGCGTTACACTATCCTGTGGAAAACAGGGCGGGTCATTAAACCTGGTTCCCTCACTTCAGAATTAGTAGCATAGTCACCGACAATGATGGGTGGGTGTTTGCATCACAGAACAAGCGCTTACATCCTGCTCCACAGAGTTTTCAAGTAAGTGAGATTACAAAGTAAGTCAAAGTAAGTGTTTAGGTTTCTAAATATCCACTTATATTACTTTAGAATTATCTTTAAAATTCAGAAAGTAGGGGCCCTAAGTGTTAAAGATGATACAAAACAAAATTAAAGCAAGCTTTAAAACCCCAGTGACTGCAGACGTAGTCTCTGCCACCATTCCTGAAGTGAACAAGAAGCAGGCAGGCACACGCCTCGTGGGCACACTGCGAGGCGGAGGAGGAGGCAGGGCTGTGGTGCCGTGAGTGGGCAGCAGTTCTGGCTGGTCACGATCATCATGTTCAGCCACCCAGCTACTTCACTTGACTCTTGGCTTGTTAGAGGTACAAAGTTCTACAAATAATATAGTCCAATCATCTAATTCAGAGATACCTATCCTTTATAAATCTTTCAATCATTCTACAAACTATCGTTATTTACTTAAAAATAACATTTTCCCTTCTGTTTTAGTTTGTGGTGATAACTGTGTGTTTGAAAGCTGGATTGGAGACATCCTATTGGACATGGGTAAGAGTATGTCTAATCACAACCAAGAAATATCATGTTTCCTTATGTGTTATTGCCACTTTTTTTATAGTTTGTCATTCTGACTTTATGTATCCCTTAACCCTGGTTCTTTCTATGGTGGTTCATTGTGGAGGGTCAGGGATGGAGGAAAGAGAACGGGGGATTCTAATTTGGAAACACTGAGTAAAGTAAGTTCATTTACCAGAAGACTTCTTAGAGCCCAGGAAGGGGAGAAGATTTTAAACTTTCTGACAAGGAATCTTAGCAGAGCATGTCACAAGACTGGTGTTCAGCAGAAAACCCATTGCAAAATGATTCTGAAGACTAATAATATTAGCAAAAGATTTGCCCTCAGAAGGTTGTAAATATCCAGTACGGAAAAAGCAAACTCCATTTTAGATACCTTAGTGTTGAAGTGTAGTTACATCCAGGTAGGAGACCTAGCCAACAAAAAAACAAAGAAAAGAGAAAGAAAGGAAGGAAGGGAAGGGAAGGGAAGGGAAGGGAAGAGAAGGGAAGGGAGAAAAGAAAGAGAGGAAGGAAGGTAGGGAAGGAGGGAGGGGGGAGAAAAAAAAGAAAAGGGGAGAGAGAGAAAGAAAAGAGAAGAAAAGAAAAGAAAACTTAAGTTTGATGCTCAGGGGAAGGATTGGCACTATAAATTTGGATTTTACTGCCATGGACATACAAATAGTACTCACACAAGTGTCTAACACCTTTCAGGGAGAACGTGCACAGGAAAAATCAAGGAGGCTTAAAGATGGTAGGAGATTAAAAAAATAAGAGTGGAAGAGAGACCCACCAAAGGAGGTAGAGAAAGAACAGCCCCGAATGCCAGCACCACGAACATCGTAACTGTTGCGGAAAGAGATTAGCACTTAATGAAAGATCCAGTTAAAACACAGGCCCCATTATTTAGAAATGCCCATAGATAATATTTTATGGAAGCAGTAAAAAATTAATAAGGGAATTTGTGAAAGCTTTATTAGTGTCTGTGTTCTCCCTGTACCTACTATTCTTTTGACTCCAATTCCCTTCCTTCACAGTTCAGCCACATAGCGATTTGGGGCAGCATCGCACTCTGGGTGGTGTTTTTTGGAATCTACTCATCCCTGTGGCCTGCTGTTCCGATGGCCCCTGACATGTCAGGAGAGGTAATGTGCCCTAATAACTCACGATTCAACAAACCTTAAAAATTGGTTTTCATTAATGAACCTGAATTGTTCAGCTTGGATTTATAGTAAAACAGAGCACTTGACCATTTAAAAGCTATTTTTAAATTCCACAGTTGTAATAAATCTTGAGGGAATATTTTAAACTTGGACATTTTCCTTAAATCTGACTTACCCTTTCATAAACATAGCGGGGACAATAAAATATGGTTGTCAGAAGCGTGAATCATGTTACGAATATCCATATAGAAAATGCCATTTTAAAATTAGAACATAAATCCACAAGTACATTTTGGTTGAGAGATTTGGGGAAATGGTAGGCTTATGTCTTGGGGACAGTCTATCATTTCCTCTCTTATCTCTCATTCTGGAGAAAAGTCTGCTGTCATTAGACTAAATGCTCTTTTAGGGTCATCTTAATGGCATCAGTTTGCTTTCCATTTTGACAGAGTTAGGACATGAGGCATTTCAGCCTTATCGTAGTCCCTTTCCAATCCCGTCTTTCAGCTTCTTGTTGCCCTGGTAGGAATTGAGTTATTAGGTGTTCATGGGGGAATGTCACGAGATCTCCTTTCCTTCACTAGAGATTCCAGCAGTAGGAAGGTTTATGATTTCAATTGCAGGAAATTTGACATAAAATGTATAAAAGAAAATGTGGAAAACATTTCAGGATTTCCTGTGACCTCACAGTAACTTGCAAATCAAGGTAACGTGAGCTCCTTTACAGTACATTGTTTTCCCAAAGTCACAGGAAACCTTCCCAGTGGTTTCATGCATTTGTTGCCCCTAAGTGCTGCCCGGGTACCTTTCACTTTTGACAGTCTGGTTTGTAGATCATGTTCGTGAAATTTTATCTGACAGCATCCTGCTTTTTATAAATTAGCAGAATGCAGACACATTTAAAAAGAACTTTTTTCGTGGTTAAATTTATTAGAGAGACATTATATACTATTACAGCAAAACCAGACATATCTTCCTTCCAAAAGAGAAGGCTTCTTCTGAAACATGTGCTATGACCTCTAGAAAATTCACAGCACGTGTGTTGAGAACAGAGAAAAAGCTGTGAATACATCTTCTTCTTACCTTGATTTCTGGGTCCATTTGTCCTGAAGAAATGAAATCAAAGACTATCTACATCTGATGATGCCACTTGAAAAATCCAGTTCTATTCTTTCTTTTTATTTGATGTGCTCTTTCTCATTGGATCTGCTGTTTCCCAAGGTCAGTTCCAACTTAATATCATTATTATTTGGCCCAATTTTATGTCATTTTTTAAAAAAATATTCAAAATGAATGACACAAAAGATTTTGAGACCCAGATAGCTCACACAACTGTAGCCAATAGCCTCAATGACAAGAATGGAGTTTTTGACCACCTACTTCTATGACAAGTGTGAAGTTTGATTGCCTTTTTGCCAACCAAATATAATTCTACCCTTGCCTGTAGAATTCCCAGTATTAACCAAGCACAAAACTTAATATCAGCTCTTGAGATTTGCGGTGATGCCGTGTTTAATACAGAGTAAAATGAATGTCCCTGCTCTGCCACATTTCTGTTCATATCATATACAGTGATACAATGGGAGGTGCTAACAGGGGTTCTTTTCCTTGGTATTTTACTACTGCTGATACTTTAAGGATAATGTTTAAATAGCTTGCTCCATTGAAAATAGATTAATCAGCATTAGGCTTGTCCAAAATGTGTCTGTTTAATTTATTCAGAGAAAAGAATAATACTTGAAATGTATGTAGTTCTTTAGTGCTTGAAAAGCATTTTGATATATATGTGTGTATGCGAATGAGCCTCACAGCAGCTCCGGAAAAAACAGGGTAACGAGAATGGCACTCATATTCTCAGGGATAGACATTCTACATGTACTATTTCCTGGGCACTCGGCTAAAAGGTCCCCAAAAATGTTTATAGCAACAATCAATTTTTCAACATTTATATTATATATAGAGAATCACTACTTCTATTACAATCCAGTTAATTTCATAAAGAAGTAACTACCTTTAGGTTTACGCTGTTCTAATCTTAAAACTATACTTTAATCAAAACTATAGTCCCATATATATGTGATAAATGTGATGCATATATATGATAAATGTATTTCTATCTGCGTGTGTGTGTATGTGTGTGTGTATATAATTGGCCAGCCATCTTGAATAAAATTTATGGATTCATCTGTTAACTTCCATAGCAAAATATTTTAATATGTTATATGGCATATATAGTGTATAGTATATATTATCTATTATATACAAGAGAGTACTATTGTCATATTATGTATATTACATATACAATAATGTAATTATATATAATATATACTATATATAGTAACATGCATTCGTGTCCATAATGCCAAGATAAAAATAAGTTTTAGCACCCCTTGACTTGACACGTTCCCCACAGAGCCTTGTGCCTTTTACTCATGGTCAAATCAAGAGCCATTGGAGGGATTTGAGAGAGAGGTGTCCTGATCTGACGGATGTTTTCATAGCAGGACCATGACTGCTATGTTCTGAACCACTTAGGACATTATTGCAGTTAACGCAGGTGAGAGATCATGGTGGCTTGGGACAAGAACAGGGCAGGGGTGGACGTGGTCAGATCCTGACCGCATTTTGAAGGTCGTAGAGCCAATAGGATTTGTTGACAGACTGGCTGTGCGGAGCGAGAGGAGAGGTCAAGCAGACTCCGTTGCATCAGCCATAAACATCATGAGGATATACTTGTCCTCAACTCACTGGATCCTCACAGCCAGCTTGTTACTATAACCATTTCACAGCTGAGAAAACCTAATGCAGAGAAGTTCGGTACCTTATTGACATCCCACTAATACTAAGCGACAGGTATTAGAGAATTTGATTTAGCTGTCTCATCCCAGTGTCAGCCGCCTGAAGCAATGCGCCCTGCAGCTCTCTGATCACAGGTACTCAGAGGAATCCATGGTAAGTCATCTGCCAATCAGAAGTCTGAAGGGCCTGGCCCTCCTTATCACTCCTTGCAGGTATTTCAAGGATTTGTGTAGGAGAGGCAGTCTCTGTTTTGTTTTCCTGATGGCACTGCCTCCTCCACGTTGGTTCTGTCTCTGGACATGTCGGTGGTCTTGCTCTTCCTCCGTCTGCCCTCCCCTTCCGAGCCCGAGCGACTGCCCCAACGCGCTTACACTCTCCTCAGGTGTCCGCTGCCCCTTCATGTCTTCATGCGTTCACTCCAGCCTAACAGCGTTGGGTTCCTGCTGTCCCATAAATAATCATTAAGTAAATGATCATTAAATAAAATTTTTTGCTTGCTTGTTTGTTTTGAACAAATGAGAAACAGTGGGGTAGAGGTGACAGAGAGCCAGATTTCAGCTCAAAGAGAACATCTTTCTAACATACGGAGATCCACATGTAGCAATTTCCAGCAGCAGAACAGGGTGCTGGTCACGCTTAACCACCCCTTTCTGTGCTAGTTGGCCTCTCGTGATTCTTAGGAAGGGCCTTGTTCCTCTACACCAGCAATTTTCAACCTTTTTCATCTAGTGGCGCACAGAAACTAATTACTAAAATTCTGCAACGCACCAAAAAATATATTTTTTGCCTGCCTGACAAAAATATGTATTGTCTTGATTAATTGTGATGAAAATCACACACATCACCCAGGGACATTGTATACAATAGTAAAGTATATCAGGCACCTATACTTATATATAAGGATTTCTGCTACAAAGAATTAACCAATTAGATGCAACCTTATTATGCGACATGACCAATAAGATGCAACTCCATTATATGACCTACACATTTATGGTTCAAGACAGGGCATTCACACCAGACAGCTCTTGTTGTGCTGGCTGTTGTCATTTTATATTTGATAATCTAAGGGAAAAGAGGCCCATGCCCCTGACTAAATAGTCAGGTATTGCACGTTTTAAAACTTCTCGCTGCACACCCGTGTGCCGCGGTACACCACTGGTTGACCGTCACTGGTCTGCACCCCCAAGGTGGTCTGCCAGTCCTGAGATTCAGGTTCTTGGTGTGCTTCTCTTCACGGGGTTCTCCGCAAAGGCACATCTTAAACATTGAAAGGACCCAGACTATCCTGCTCTGGGTAACAGGATCTCAGGGTGCGAATTATACACAAATAAGGCATCTTATGGGCACGGGTCTCATGCGCCTATAGTCAGCTGGATGCGCATTCACACACAGGTCTGGGTTTTATCATTTCCCATTTACATTCTTGGTTCATCTTTGCGGTCCCCATCCAAAGGCAGAGCCATTTCTCTCAACGTGCTGAGAAAAAAACGTAGCTCGCAAGAGGGGGAAGGAAGAACATCACCATTTCTTGTGCGGCCACCTGGTTCCTGAGGCACGTGTTCGGTCCCAGGTATCCCTTGTTTCATTTCAGTCCGTATTACAAACCTTTGTGGTAAGCAAAGCAAGGGACCCAGAGAATTCATCCCAGGTTTTGGGGGTGGTTTTGTTTTGTTTTTTCAGTTCCCATTGGTTTTCTCTAACATCCTGAGGAACTAAATACTTTGAGGAACTAAATACTTAGCTGTTCCTATTTCCCATACGGGAGCTCTTTTTTCCTGCTTGCAGCCATCCTCCTTGCATTGATTTCCCCGATTTAGCTGCCATTTCCCTGTTAGACAGATAGCAAAGTGTTCCCATCTCTTTTTGAAAGTGCCCAGATTTTTAATTCTCCCTCTTCCACACCCACCTAACTCCCTCTCCACTGTTTATAGAAATTCCATCTCATTACATTTCCTAGCCTCTTGCCTCTTTTTAAAAGCAATATTAGCGTAAATAATACCCATCTCCTTAAAAAAGGTAGACATGAACTTGAAAACCCAATCACCCCACATCCTCAGAGAATGGACAGTGGCCACACACAGAGCAGCAGGGCCTCATGACGGAGGGTCCATAGCGGTTACCACACTCCTCCTGTCGTCACTCTCTCAACAGTGTGAACATTTAGTGGGAGCACTGTGAGG